TAAACGATGACTTTGCTGACTTTGAAGATGAAAGGGTGTCCTGAGTCAATGAATGTGAATAGCTTCTAGAAGGTGGAAAAGGTAAGAAAAGGGATTCTTTCTACAAGCTTCCAGAAAGGAATCCACCCCTGCCACCATCTTGATTTTGGTCCAGCAACACCCATTTTAGACTTCTGACCTCCAGAACTGCAATATAATAAATTTGGGTTGTTTAAAGTCATTAAGTTTGCAATAGTTGTTATACCAGAGAGCCCTATAAGAAAGCTACTGTAGGCCTGGTGTGGTGGCTTATGCCTGTAGTCCCAGCACTTTGGGAGGCTGAGGTGGGCAGATCACTTGAGGCCAGGAGTTTGAGACTAGCCTGGCCAACATGGTGAAACTCTGTCTCTACCAAAATTACAAAAAATTAGCTGGGTGTGGTGGCACACACTTGTAGTCCCACCTACTCAGGAGGCTGAGGCAGAAGAATTGCTTGAACCCAGGATGCAGAGGTTGCAGTGAGCCAAGATTGTGCCACTGCACTCTAGCCTGGGCAACAGAGCAAGACTCCTTCTCAAAAAAAAAAAAAAAAAAGCTACCATAACTGTTTAGATGAGCTTTGGTAATGGCTCAAGAAATACTTATTTACCTTTCCTCTAGGTGTGTTAGGTCCTCTTTCTTGGGGATGATCAGGCCATTTCTATACAGGCAAGATTTGGCCTTTTATGAGTTCCTCCCAAGGCTTTCACTCCAAAGTACAACTAGTCCCATGCACGGAATTCCACATCACCTGGGGGAGTGAACACTTGGTCACAGTGCCAGGAGCAGACAGCTTGGGTGCATCAGTGAACCAGTATGTGAGTGTGAACTAAGAAAGGCTACACTGTGACAGGAAGAGAGATGAATGCCATGACCAGGTCATTGCAGATTTGACTGGGTGCTCATCTGAGATTTGAAACAGGTACTCCACTTGAAATTCTCAGATGCCTCATTCAGGCAACGCACAGAGGCAACTTTCTACTTCCCTCTTCTTACCCCTGATAAATAGATTTCTACTGGAATGAATGCATGAATGAATGAATGAATGCATGAATGAATGAATGAATGAGTGAATGTATTAGAAAGGGAATTCCTTCTTTCTGTGGCTTCTCCAGCAAGCGTAAGTGATGCTTGAGTCATTTTTATGCCTGCCTTTCTTTGTGCTTGTCCAAACCAGAATTCAAAGTATCTTGCTTGGTTCAGGGACCTATTTTTATAGGGCAACCCCCCAGGCTTAAATATTCAACATTCATGAGTATTTTTAAATGATTGGTTGTAACCCATGAGCATGAACTCTATCTTACAAGATTCTTTTTTATTTTTTATTTTTTTTGTAATTGGTGGCCCAGAACAGTCTCTTATATTTAGAAGCCTGAATCTAGGGTTACGTATCAAGATACGTGCATCGTGCTGTTTTGCTGAATGCAGCTGTCCTGCTGTAGGCCAAAGGTAATTTGCTGATCCAGGAGCTGAGGCCAGAGATTTTATGTCTGCATCTGTTTCTGCCCATAACTTGTGGGACGAGACAGGGCAACTTCAAGAGCTGTGGCCCTATCAGCCTCAGCAACTCAAAGAATGGCAGGACCGGGACTGACCCTTCTTTCTCTTAAGTATAGCCAGTGTGTTCTGCTATAAAGTGACACCATAGTACTTTGTTCATGCCTCTGTCTGAGCACACTCATGTTTCCTTCTCTTTGTGTGTGTTTGTGATGTGTGTGTGTGTGTGTGTGTGTGTGTGTGTGTATGGTGTGTGTGTGTGTGGTTTGTGTGTGTGTGCATGTCTGTTCCCCTCACTGGACTATTGCCACCTTCTCAGGGGTCTCTCTTAAACATGCTGGAATTCCCAAAGCCTAGCCCAGTTTCTGTGGTTGAGTAGTTGCTCTATAAATATTGGTCAAAGGAGGAGATGGATGAGAGTGAGAACCCCATGGGGAAATTGTTTGGGAAGCTATTAGGTTACTTTTGCCTTGCATATGGAAGGTGTAGTAAGAAGTGGAATGCTTAATGTGGACACTGGTTTTTTCTTTTCTTTCTTTCTTTTTTTTTTTTTGCCCAGCAACTCTCTCTCCTTCTTCTGGTAAAAGCACTTCGGTTTTCCTTTGGGGAACCACCCTTCCCGCACCCTCAATCCATAAAATTTGGGTGGAACAGGCCTCACATTCAGTTCCAGTGATTGAATCCTGACTTCAGGCCTGGCCAGTGAGGGTACCACATGCCCTGGGCCATAGCATCCATTTGTGTTGGCACAGTGGCTACACTTGTTTGTTAATGACTGGTATCCATTTTGATAGGTTGGTTTCTGTTTTTTTTTTTTTTTTTTTTTTTTTTCGGGGGATTTATTTTATTGTTTTTTAGGTTTTGTGGTACATGAGACGGAGTTTCGCTTTTGTTACCCAGGCTGGAGTGCAATGGCGCGATCTCGGCTCACTGCAACCTCTGCCCCCTGGGTTCAGGCAGTTCTCCTGCCTGAGCCTCCTTAGTAGCTGGGATTACAGGCACATGCTACCATGCCCAACTAATTTTTTTTGTATTTTTTAGTAGAGACAGGGTTTCACCATGTTGACCAGGATGGTCTCGATCTCTTGACCTCATGATCCACCTGCCTTGGCCTCCCAAAGTGCTGGAGTTACAGGCTTGAGCCACCGCGCCCGGTGGTTTCTGTTTTATATCATTATGTTGAATTGAACCATTTTTCCCCCTGGAGCTATTAGGGAAGAAATACTTTCCACAGGCATTGCTAAGCAGGTAGGAAAATGTCCAAAGCTGCTGGCAGTGGTCTTGTCCCTATTAAACTGAAATGAACTCAGCAAGTTGGGGCTGAGACATGGAAAGGTATATGTTTCCAAAAACCCTGTGCACCTGGATCCACCTGCACTTGAAGCAATCCCTGGAATTTTCCATTTTATGAGCAGCAAAGTCTACTGTGCTCTATTTAGCCAGTTTTTGTAACTGGCTGATGAAAGAGTCCCTTGGCTGATACAATACACCAATCCCTTTTTATACTGTGCTTTTGCGAGTGGGGCAGGGGCAATCTTAGCTTTGGAGGAAGCTCTGGACAAGCCCATCATCCCAACAAAGACCATTTTGTTGCTCTTAGAGCTTAGGACCTAGGAGATGCCCAACAAAAGTCAGAGGCCCTCTTGTCCCCAAGGATCTCATTTAATGACAGGATTTATTTTATTTTACTTTCACTTTAATGGGATCAACATTTTCAGTGCCTCATAAGAGGACATTTCTGGCCATAAATTAGTTGTGAGTGATGCCTCTCTAGTGCCACCCCTGGCCTCTCTGGAGTCTTCCCTGGGGACTGAGGCTGGAATAGATGAGCTTATTTTGGTTACGAAAATCTCTGGAAGGTAGGGAACCCCAAGAAAACACAATTCACACACTGTGGTACACAGGCTTACTTAAAACCATTTTTATTCTGCCTCTCAGCAACACTTTTCATTTGATTTGGGTAAAAGACCAGGGACCCAAACACACACAAACAAAAGACAGGATGTCAGAAACAGAAGATTCAATCTATTGGAATGATGCTAGCATCTCTGTGTGCTGAGATTTCACGTCCCTGATTCAATGTCCTCCTGGGACAAGTGCTGGCTCATCATGACATCTGGGTCAAATGACAGGTAGAATCTGATGTTCATCAGCTTTTATTCTTTTGCTAGGGCTCTGTATATGAAAAAATGCTGAAATTCCCCATTATCCAAGAACAATGGTTTGTGTTGATATAGAACTTAGAATCCCTCACCCCTCCAGGGTTATTCACATATATTATGATGATTAATTTTCATAACAACACTGTGAGGTAACTAGGCAGGCATTCTTATTCCCATTTTTCAGGTGAAGAAATTTTAGGCACAGAAAGGCTAAGGAACTTGCCTAAAATCAGCTTGCATAGCTAGTTAGTGGCCAAAACCGCTCCTGCAAAAGCAAAAGGGCATTGGAACTCAGGTATTTTGACTCTCAGCCTCTTATTCATTTATTCATTCAATTAAAATAATCTGCCTTTCTTTTTTTCTTGCTCTGTCACCCAGGCTGGAGTGCAGCAGTGCAGTCTTGGCTCACAGCAACCTCTGCTTTCCAGATTGAAGTGATTCTCATGTCTCAGCCTCCCGCGTAGCTGGGATTACAGGCAGGTACCTCCATGCCTGGCTAATTTTTGTATTTTTAGTTGTGATGGAGTTTCACCACGTTGGCCAGGATGGTCTCGGACTCCTGATCTCAAGTGATCCACCCACCTTGGCCTCCCAAAGTGCTGGGATTACAGGCGTAAGCGACCATGCCTGGCCAGAATAATCTGCCTTTCTTTATCACCATGTTTCTAACATTAATTATTTGAAGTGACTTTTGCCACACATACCTATCTGGTGTGTTAATTACTTGATATTTTCTTGAGTTCCCCTATTTTTCTTAATTTATTTGAACATATACAATATATCACATCCCCCACTGTGGGAGGCTATAGATGGAAGATAACAAATAAAATAAATACCATGACACAAACCAATAGCATTAAATTCTATCTAGACAGAAGACTCTAAACCTGAGGCCTGCTCTTTCTTTGTTAAAAAGGGAAAAGAGCCATGTGTCAGTCAAGGTGTTGAGGACCGGCTAGCGCTAAACAGAGACTTTCTCCTTGCTATAATCAGGATGAAAAAAGAATAGGAAAGGGGAAACATTCTTTGGGATTTGGTATTACTTAAAGTTGTTCCTAGCAACTACTGAAAAGTGATCTTGTGTACCACCAGTGGCACACCCCTCATGCTCTGTGAGACACGGGGTTACTGTGTTCTGGCAGGCAGAATAATGGCATCATTAAACCAGTACATTCACTTCTAAAGGGTTTACATTTGACAGAAAAGAAATACAATGGGTGGCATTTCCAAGTGGCATCCAGGAAAATGAAAGATCTCTTGCCTGAGACTTGCTAGAGAAAGAGAGGATAGAGAGATTGAAAAAAAAAAATAAAAAGCACATTGTATAAATACATCCAGTGTATTCCCAACACTGGGATGAAGAAGGTGCTCATGTGCCTAGAATTGGCCACTAAGTCCATTCTCAGAGTCTGTTTGTGTGAAGAGTGAGGTTGTGGCCAAGTCGGCCAACATGGATGCAAGCAAGAGAGGGGGCCTATTTGGAAACATAAGGATCAAGACAAAAGGCCAGAAAAGCCCCTTCTTTGAGTCTTTGGTAACCAGAGGGGTGAATTCCGGGCATGGGAGCGCTGACTCCCAGAGGAGGAGTTACTGAAGGTTGAAGTGAGGCTACAACATGTCAGAACAAAAGGAAAAGCAAATCCACAACTTGAACTCTACTAGACAATTTTAAACATGCTGCAAATGTTTGTGCTTGAAATTGTAAAAACCAGCACTTGCGGCTCTTCCAGAAACTTCCCTCTCCCCCTATATGGAGACCCCGTGGATCACCCCAGTGAAAAGTTACGCGATTTTCTGAGGCTTGCCTCTGGAGGACAGGAGTAGACACCACGGGACTCGCTAAACTGAGACAGTGAGATTTCATTTTTCTTTTTTCTGTTTTCTTTTCATTTTTACAAATCAATGACTTTGGCTGATCCGGCTGTGCAGCTTGGATTTCCTAAAAATTTGGACTTCTTTTTTTTTTTTTTTTTTTTTTTTTTTTGCCAGGGACCTGCCTCTGGAGAGCCCTGGAGGAAAAGATCTCACAGTCTGAAGTCAAGGATCCATTCCTCAGAAACTCCTTTGGGGTGTGTGTGCATGAGGTGCATCTTCCACGCTCACAGCCCGCTGACCAACCGCTGGTTCCTCAGGCACTGTATAGGACACAGAGAGAAAGTCAGAGAGAGAGACCATGGGCTGAGCTTCCGTGGTTGGCTTTCCCAGCTTGATGGCTTCCTTATTTGATGGCGATTACTCTGGTTAAACACGTGCTGAAATGTACAAGCCCTCCTGCACACTTCTGACTCTAAGCAAGGGCTTCCTTTTGAAAAACATATTCTATTTGGAAAACGTATTTTATCTTACACGTGATAAATGCCAACAAACAAACAAAGAAAATGAATACGGCAAAATGCCTCTTGAGCATATCTGAACCTCACTCTCCCCCCTGAGGGTTAGTATGGTAGCACTCTTAGCAGTTTGGTGTGCATTCTCCAGGTGTTTTTCTCTGCATGGAAACTGATCAGTAAGCGTTTAGAAATTATATACTCATCATGTGTATGTGTTTACATAATGGGATCGTGCTACAATTTCTTTTTTTGTTTTACTCATTTATTTATTCAGTGCATATTTACATGCCAGGCACTGCTCTAGATGTTGATGACAGTAACAGTACCCAACAGTTACCTAGAGAGTATGGTGTGCCGGGCACTGTACTTTTTGCAATTTAACCCTCACAGCCCTATGAGGTAGGCACTGTTGTTATTTCCATTTTATGTATGAGAAAACAGAGGCACAGACTGCTTAAAAGATATACCCCAGGGCACACAGCTGCTTAGAGGAAGCACCTGGAATGAAACTCCCGCAGTCTAGCTTGTAAGTAGGCACCTTTAAGGGCCATACTTTATTATTATGGGCAACAATAGAAATGAAAATGTTCCTGGAGTTCTCATGCCAGTAGGGGGAAACAGAACATAGATATATAATCTGTCAGGGAGTGGTAAGGAAGAAAAGTGAAATTGGCGAAAGGGAGAGTCTCTTTGTTAAGGTAACATGAACAAGCACCAGAAGGAGAGATGGGAACCAGCTATGTGGCTTTTAGGAGGAAGAGAGTTCCAGGCAGAGGGAACAGCAAGTGCAAAGGCCCTGAGGCAGGAATATGTGTGTGTTCCTCAGAGAGAAGACTCTGATGTGGCTGAATTGGAGGGAGTTAAAGGGAGAGAGAGGGAGTAAGAACTGGGAGATGAGAATGGGGAGGTGGCAGCCAGATTATGCCGGGCTTGTAAAGTCATAGTAAGAAGGATGTCGGCTGGGCATTGTGACTCAAGCCTGTAATCCCAGCATTTTGGGAGGTTGAGGCAGGCAGATCACCTGAGGTCAGGAGTTTGAGACCAGCCTGGCCAACATGGCAAAACCCTGCCTCTACTAAAAATACAAAAATAAGCCAGGCATGGTGGCACTTGCCTGTAATCCCAGCTACTAGGGGGGCTGAGGCAGGAGGATCACTTGAACCTGGGTGGTGGAGGTTGCAGTGAGCCAAGATCGTGCCACTACACTCCAGCCTGGGCAGCAGGCAGCAGAGCAAGACTGTGTCAAAAAAAAAAAAAAAAAAAAAGGATGTCTGCACGTTTATATTTTTTAAAAAACTGGAGATGGGATCTCTCACTATATCGCCCAGGCTGGTCTTGAACTCCTGGGCTCAAGTGATTCTCCCACCTTGGCCTCCCAAAGTGCTGGGATTATAGGAGTGAACCAGGGTACCTGGCCCTGTCTCCATGTTTAAACTGCAGTGTGGTATACCATCATATGAATACATGACTACTAATTTAACCTGCCTATTGATGTACATTTAGGTTTTTCCAAGGTTTCCCCTATTGCAGACAAAGCTGCAATGAACATCATTGCACATCCGTGGTTCACAACCCTGGCTGCACATTAGCATTACCCAGAGAGCCCTACAATCCACCAATGCCTGGCCCTATCACTGGAGATTCTAATTTAATTGGTCCAGGGTGGGCCCTGGGCATTGTTTCTTAAATTTTTTTATTTTAATTTTTTGAGATAGAATCTTGCGCTGTCACCCAGGCTGGAGTGCAGTGGCACAGGTATAGTGGACTGAAGCTTTGACCTCTTGGGCTCAAGCCAGCCTCACACCTGAGCCTCCCAAGTAGCTGGGACTACAGGTGCATGCCAGCAAGCCCAGATAATTAAACAGTTTTTTTTCACTAGAGATAAGATCTTGTTATGTTGCCCAGGCTGGCCTCCAACTCCTGAGGTCTAGTGATCATCCAGTCTCTGCCTCCCAAAGTGCTGGGATTATAAACATGAACCACAGTGCCCAGTGGCATTGGCATATTTTTAAAGCGCCCCCTCCCAGGTAATTCTAACATGTAGCTAGGGTGAAGCATTACTGTGTTACGTGCATTTTTGTGCATCTGTCTCTAAGGTGGATACTGAGAAGTAGAATTGCTGGATTGGTGGCCACAGCATTTTAAAGTTTATTAGATACATCCAAATTGACTTTCCAAAAGACTGTCCCGATTTTCTCTTTCACCACCGGTATAGTGTCCAATTTTTCACATTCCTGCCAACCTTGATATTACCCATCTTTTTGATGGTTGCAATCTGGCAGCTTTAATTTGTGCTTTCCTGATTACCAATGAGGTTGAGCATTTTTTTTAATGTTCATTCTGATTTCTTCATCAGTGTGCGGCTACCTTATATCCTTTTCAAAGCAAAAATCCTTCCACTGTTGCTGGCAACCTAGATCAGATTTGTCTGCATATTAATTTACCTGAACCAACAGAGAAAGACCCTTCTAAGCTTCTGGAAATAGGTAATGATTCCCATTATTCATTATAGAATCACAAAAATTCTCTGAGCAAAACAATTCCCGGAAAGCCTTTCCCCAGCCAACAATACAGAAAAGAAGAGGGATTTGCTTTTACACTTCTACAAAACAGGTCAAGTTCTTGCTTCATGTCCACCTTGATATGTATGCCTCCTTCCAATTCTGATGCAATTGAGGAATATTTTGAGCCCAGGAAAGGATTCATTTCAATTTGCTTATGGGAGAGAAGCTTTCCCAGTGCAGAATGGGTCAGTATCTTCTAACTCTGTGCCTGCTAATGAGACACAGTCATGGGACCCTTACTCCTGTTTAAAGGTCAAGTTTTTCCTTAATGAAAACCTTGGAGCACAAAGGCTGTTGTTAAGAATGGCAAATGAGCATTTTTAACACACAGCTGTGTACCTGGATGTTTATACCTCAACAAGACCACTCAGAGGTATACATTCAGGAAAGTTGCATTGTATGTGCATTTAACTTATGGCAGATCAACTATTTATGTTCCTCAAAAAGAAAAAAGAGAAGCTGTTTAAATAGAGCTAGAGTTTCTGGCTACCATTTCTGGCTCAATGGTCATGAGTATGGATGGGGTTATCACGTCTGTTCCTCCTGTGTGAGCCCAGATTGTGGTTCCAGTGTTTAAACAGATGCCATGAACCCTAAACCCAGCTACATACTTCAGCTGGCTCTCAACCCAAGGAACAGTCACCTCTCCCAACACTGGAAGCATTCAACTGGCTGTGCTGGGCTGATCAAGATACCATGTGTGAATCTCCAATAGGGTGCTCTCCTATGGATACTTCCAAGATCAAGTTTGATTATACACAAAGCCCACCTTGTGCCCTGACATGAGAACCTCACCCCTGAGTAACATGAAGCTCCACTGGATTACTAGGGTCATCTGAGAATGTCATATTTGTCATACAGGACATTTGCCTCATACCCAAATTTTGTCATGCTCAACTGTTTTTGCTGCTAAGGACATTCCACCAAATTCCACAGAGCATCAGATTAAGTGACCATGAACCTGTTCTCAAGGAGAGAGGAAAAGAGCTGGGTGTGGTGGCTCAACCCTGTAATCCCAGGTAACTCAGGAGGCTGAGGTGAGAGGATCACTTGAGGCTGGGAGTTCAAGACCAGCCTGGGCAACATAGTAAGACCCCCATCTCAAAAACCAAAACCAAAACCAAAAGGGAGGGAGGAAAGGCAAATTTGGGAGGTAAATAAACTTTCCAGGGAAGCAGCAATAACTGAAGCTTCTACCACATATCTTAGGTATAATATTGTGATGTAATAAGAAATAAATATTTGGTTTCTGCCTCTGGTTCCTGAGACAGAGCTCCTGACACCCCTGTAGATTGGGTGCTAGGAGAATCTTTTGTTTTTATGTTTTGTCTTTGACTCTAGTTTCTGACACAGAGCTCCCAAATCCCTTGGAATTTCCTGGGTGATAGGACTATATTTGTTCTAATGAGGTAACTCTTGGTGGGCTCCTGGATGGCCTCAGGTTGGGGGTGGATTGCCAGGGGAACCAACCATTTGGTCAGAAGGTTGGAACTTCCAGTCCTACCCCCTGGGCTCTAGGGAGGAGAAATGCCCTGAAGGTTGAGTTGATCACCAATAGTCAATGATGTAATCGATCATGCCTATGTAATGAAGCCCCCTTGCAAAATCCTAAAGGACAGGGTTGGGAGAGCTTCCGGATTGCTGAATGTGTGGTGGTACTTAGAAGGTGGCACACTTGGACAGGACATGGAAACTCCACGCCCCTTCCTACATACCTTGCCCTAAGCATTTCTTCCATCTGACTGTTCATCTGTATCCTTGGTAGCATCCTTTGTAATATTCATAGTACTAAATGGATAAACATAAGTAAGTGTTGCCTTGAGTTCTATGAGCCACTCCAGCACATTAATAGTACCTGAGAAGGGAGTTGTGAAAACCCCCAAATTACAGCCAGCCGGTCAGAAGCACAGGTCATAACCTGGGGCTTTCAATTAGCATCTAAAATGGGAGGCAGTCTTGGGGGACCAAACCATTATTAACCTGTGGGATCTGACCCTAGCTTCCAGTAGATGGTGTGGTAATTGAGCTAAATTATAGGATACCCTGTTGGTAGTCACCGGACAATTGCTTGGCGTGTGGGGGAAACAAAACACATCTGGCCACAGCAGTGTGTTGTGTTGACTGTGTAAGAGAAGAAAAACCGTTTATCTTTTATCTTAGGGATGTAAAAAAGTCTTGTTTGTTGGCACATGTCCACACAGGCAAGAATGTTCTTCATTAAATGCAAGATCCTAGCATTGT